TAGCGCCATACGTTCCATCTCATTTACGGCCTGCATTTCTTCAGTTGTAAACTGTAAAGCAAGGAAACATATTCGATGAGTATTATATGACAACTGTCTACAAAAAGTTGAAACAAATCGAGTTTAAAAGTCCTTTTGTTTCATTAACAAAAGATACACGTCAGATGCAAATCTAACCCAGGTCGAGTCTATTAACATAACGAACATAAATGATGCGTGAAAACTCGGTTACAGAAAACTACTCAAGGTCGTTTAACTTTAAATTACTCAAGGTCGTTTTTCAAAACTTACCGTATCGCTGTGTAGATCGTTGACTTCATCACTACCCGTGTCCTGATTGATTTCAATCTGTGGAGTAGAACGTTAAGTAAAGATTAATATAAACTCGCTTCGGTAACGTACAGATTAAACGCAAACCGTCACCAGGAAAGAACTCAGAGACGAAATAGAATACTTACTGGTATCTCTTGAGCGGTGAGTTCCGACAGCCGAGCATACGCCATTGGGATCCACTCATCGGGTATCAAAATATATTCCAGCAATAATTCCCAATCGTGGGTCGAGGAACAGCGGGGGCATCCAACGAGAATATAGTTCAAAACTACTTAAACATAGCATTGTTAAATGTATTTTAGTATTTAAACCGTAGATATAGGCATATTTTTATCCCCTAAAAATTTTTCATCTGTTCGGATTTCCTAGCTGAAAGTCTAGTGATCCGAAAATTAAAGGGATTAAAACTTACCTTTTCGAAAATTTTAGCCAAAGAAAAGGCTCCCGAAAATTCTAGATGACCTTTTTAGTGTAAAACTCCGTTAAAGATGGGCAGTTATCCCATTTTTTAGATGTTCGAAAATCCTAGGAGAGGCAGGAAAACAAGAAATTTTGCAACAAATGTTCCGAAAACTCTGGATCTCAAATCGTCTTCCGAACAGATATTTTCCGAAAATTGACCTTGGGTGCTCCTGGAACAGGCATCCAAAATAGCTTGAAGCTCATCAACGTTGGTAATAAAAGCCATGATATTGTTCCTATTGTAGTAGAGTGACGCTCATTAGTAAACCTATCCACTTCATTATATATGGAGGAAGAGATTTAATTAGTGTGCAGGAAATCCAAATTAGTATGCGGGAAGGCAGTGACTAGGCACTTAATTAATATGAAAGAACGCATTTTTTTCCCTAGGTTATAACAATGAGTGACGTCATAGACTCGACCCATATGCCTGTTAATTAAGGGAACGCACACGGAACGCAAAGGGAACGCACCAAAGGGGGTTAAATTTGACCCTAGTAGACTACTTTGGTCGA